AATTTTATTCTTCGACTAAAGGCGAAGCCTCTAAAATATACCAAGAAGCAAAGCTAAAATTAAAGGTTTCAGTTAGAATAAAAAATAAAAAAAGAAAAAAAAAAGAAAAAGAATAAAAAATGAAAAAAGGAAAATTTTATAAAAATTTTAGTGCGAAAAAAATTAAGTTGAAAATCTTTAAATAATTTTTATAATTTCTTTTTCAATATTAGAAATAGAAGATATTCTGAAAGCATTTTTAGCATAAAAAAGAAATTTTATAATGGGCACATCCCATCACTTCGGCATAACGAGAAGCGGAAGACCTCTGGAAATCCTTACACGACGTAAGAAGATAGGAAAAATTATTAATCCTCCATCTTTCTTATTGATCTGATTGCCGGCCATAAATTTATTTGTTAATCAAATTGTGATCTTTGTTATATAATTATTTTCTCAATAATAATAATAATTAATAATAATAAGCAAAATACAATATTATTGAATGTGCAAAAAGAATTGTTGAAGCAGTTAATTTGTTAATTTAGTGAAATTTTTATAAAATAGCTAAATAGCAAATAAATATAAAGTTTCCTTCTAAATAATAATTTCGATAAAATTTTCATTAGCAATTTTTTTTGTTTGCTTTTCATCTAAATTCGTTTACGATAATTTATCGGACAAATTTTGATAGAGAGACATTTGGCGATAGAAGTACAGATGCTGGTGGGTGATGCTGACGATTCACCTGTAGTTCTATCGCCGAGGGATTACCTCGCATAGTTGTCCAGTGCGAGAAACCAGCGGAGCGAGTCTAACCAGTAAGGGTGAGGACCCTTTAAAAAAAATTCGCCAGTGTCATTGAATTTTTGAAGGAACGGTTGGTTTATTTCTGCTGAGAGTAGAAATTCAGCTTCTCCAAACTGACTAATTATTACTGACTTCTTATTTCAATCCTCAAGTTTCTTTATCTCAACGGAAAATTCATAATTTAAAAGCAGTTTTAGTTAATTGGTTGACTTAATTATTTGTGGTGGTGCTGTGCCAAATATTGCGCAATATGTCATTAATTTTAATTCATTTGAGAAGTATCTGCTTAATTAAATCTAAATTATTAGTGTCGACAGCCCAAATTTATTTATATTTATCATTCTAATATCATTATTTTACCAGTAATCCCATAAAATGGATAATATTATAGATTATCTTTTAAATTATCTCATTGTTAATATACAAGAAATTTGCTTAGAGACTCATCGTATACCGCTAAATAAGCTATAAAATTTACCAGTCGGTTCGACAAATAAAAGATTAGAAAGATTTTTATTTCATGCTGAACAAACATAAATGTTGGTAAAAATTATTAGGATAGAATAAGATAGATTCAAATCCGCAAAAATTAAATAAAAATTAAGAAATTAAATTAAATTAATCAAATAAATCAAATGAATCAAATGGAAATTAATGAAATTTTATTAATTATTGAAATTTACAAAGAATGTGATAAATTTTACTGGTAGGAATTTAGATAACAAACAATTGCTGCTGCTCGCATATTTTATTTATTTCAGAATAAAAATTTTCAAAATACGTTGAGAAAAAAATTTTTAAAGGCTTCTTGGCTTTAAAGCCATTAAGGCCATAGGCATATCAATATAGGCGAATTATCAGAATTTTCATTTTTTTTTTCCTTTGAAAATATTACTAATGAAATTCCGCTTCTTTTCCTAGAATATGATTGTGATTAGGATAAAGGATAGTTATCGAGTAAGTTGCTATCTCACTGCCTGCATTACCCGCACTGTCCGCATTTAATGATGCATATTTAGTCGAAAAAAAATTGGTTAAATTTATTCAACGAATTCTTTTTGAATCAAATAGATATGATTAGAATTGAGGAATCACGCGAAGAATAAAAGGTTAATGGTTAATTCTCAACTTTTTTAGCCTCATTCTACTAGCACATAGTCAAAAAAATTTTAGCCAGCGAGCTATCTGTGAAAAAAATATAGGTAAATCATAAGCACCACCCATAATTTCCAGTGACAATCTAACTTCTATCGAAGCTGAACTACTGATCCCAACCAATAATCTGGATCAGTAGCCATGCTGCGCGAGATTCTGAAGATACCCAAAAAGAATGTAAACATAATCAATGAAATAAGGAATGGAGAGTTAGGCTTTAAAAGCTATTGCAAAGAAAGCATAAGGAAGAATCAAATTGGCAGATTTAAAAAACGCTTCATTCCAATAGCCGCTGGAACTAGCCGAGTGGACATTACTGGTCAAATTAAGAGATGGGTGCTGCTACCCAAATGTTATGAGAAAAAGAAATGATTTTGACACAGCGTACTGTTGAAAGACCAAGCAAATATATTTGAATACGGTGTAAAAGGCCCACTGACCACTCAAATTCCACAGACCAATTTAGGAATCCATGAATTAAACGAACAAATGACAATAATTCTTCCTTAGAATAGAAGTCTAACAAAGTGAAAATCATGAAAGAGTTATTTTATTTTAGAAAAACTCGACGATATGTTATGAAAAATGAATTTGTTCATAACAGATATATATATATATATATAATACATATGAAACCTCAATTCTTGGTAGTGGAGTTCACTTACTCAACAAGAGTAGAGTAAGAAGGTTCATTGCAATTTTTGGTTGAAATTAGCCAAAAATACGGATGGTTTTAGCAATTTGGATTCATCTATATTATAGTCACCAAGGGATTTCCTAGCATATTTGTCCACCGCCAGCCAGAGTCTAACCAATAAAAAGAAAAATGTACATAAAATAAACATGAACATTCTCCGTTCAGCGATACTAGTACTGGTTACCACTACGGCTCAAAATTTTCGCCAGGGAGCTCCTTGACGACAGAAGTATGATGGATCTGAGTTTTAGCCACTCGGCGTTGGTCTTAACACGGGTACTTTTCCCTTGCAAAGTGAAAATTTGAGCCATTAAAATTTCTTTTCATTTGGCCAAAAATTTTAAAAAAGTGAAAAAACTTTACCTTTGAATTTGAATGAAATTTGCCAAGGTAATTTAAAATGTTTAATGAATAAATTCATTTTTTGGTTGAAATTAGCCAAAAAATTGCTGCGTACGACTTTTAATTCAATGAATTTTTAAGCGATTAAATTGAATTTTACCTTTCGACTGGCAAATACGATTTCGCGATTTTATTACTCGAATTACCCGAATCGTTTGAAATATATATTTTTTTCAACCATGCAAACAAAAAATTTCAAAAATTTAACTTCACTCCTCATGTAAATTCTCTAAATTCATGGAAATACATGGATGTGTCGATTTGCTTTCAAATAATTCAATTTAATGTGATTAATTAAATCAACAATTAATAAAAAAAAACTAAATTAACATTGACAAACTCGACTCTACTAATCCAGCAAAAATAGCGAAAGAATAAGGCATTTAGGGGAAAAAACTGCAGATTATAGATCCATAAGAAGTCTTCTCGCTCACTACGAGTTTCAAACGGCCAAAAATATGCTTTGCTTGTAGCTCCTTAACCCAGTACAAGAACCTAGTATATATGAGAGCAACAACTAGTTCCTTTCCTATTCCAGCAAAAATGCCCCAAAATTAAAAAAAAGTTCATCCTGTGGTAAAATAAATATATTTGTTATGTAAGAGAATGATAAGACTGGTAAGGACAACAATGATACAATACAGTCTACCTTTTGCTCGAATTTTTCAAATTTTCGGATTAAAATAAATTTAGCCGAAAACAGTTCGGAGTGAGGAGAATGGCTCACTGGGTCGCTGCTATCAGAGATCTCGAAGTGCCGTTGTTAGAACTCTATTACTAACAAGAATAAACAGGAATATCTTTTAAAAACCTTGGTGATACTGACGACTCACCTATATTTCTGACTCTCTCGTAAAATGCTTGGATCGGCCGAACCAGCGGAACGAATCTAATTTGGAACGCTCAATTCTCTACCTTAAAAAATTTTATTTAACGAAAAAAAGTCGCAATTTAAGCAGTGCCGAATTGATAAATGTCAAATTTAAAAGTAAAAAAATAAAAAGATGCACAGTACTTTAATAAGCCAAAAGATATAAGCGAGTGCGTGTATGTCTATTCCAGCACAACACATTTTGCTCGATTGATAATCATTTAAGTATAAGCGAAATAATGCATTTAAAATGCAGAAATTAATTCTCGAAAATGTGAAATTATTAAACGATAATGGCCAAACGGCAAAATGACTTCATAATTAGTAATTTAGATAAAGGATAGTCACCCATTCCTCTAATACGTCATTTCGTTGATCTAACATAGCAGCTATAATCAACAAAGCAATTCATGTCAACTGCAATTGCTATAATGTGGACGCACATTAATTCATAGTATTATATTGTCACAAGTCTAAAAATAGAAATTTCCAGCAGCTAAATTCTATTTAAGCTTGTCTCCTCTCTGAATTTTGTTGCTTTTAATCACCAAATATTAACCAAATGAAAGGCCATAAATTTACCAAGCTCACTCAAAAGCTAATCAAAGAACGATATCTTGCTTCTGTTGCTTTGTATAGCGACAGAATCCGATTGAGTGGCTTGAAAAAGCTTCACCACCGCAATCAGCCTAATAAGTTTAGTGACAGCTGAAGGAAAACCAAACTGAAACTGAAACGTATATACCGCATAGCAAATCGAAAAATGGAATATAAAATTTAGAATGAATTAAAAAAGGACTTTTCAATTATTTTAATAAAGTAATGAATGTTTCTTTGCAATTTCGGTCGATCCCACCATGCTAATCCTTATTCCTACATTTGGTTAGTTTTAAACATAAAAAATTTATTGAATACAAAAAATCTTTTGCTTCAACAAATAATCCTTTCTTACGAAATAAAAATTTTTAGCGTTGAATAATGGAATAATTTTTTCATTTCACTAAAAAATATATTTTTTTAAACGATTATAAATGTTCTCCTTAGAATTACAAATATGAAAAAATAAATAATGAACAGTCTGCAAAACTAATGGTCAGCACCAATAGCTTCGGATACATTTTTGAATCCATCTTGTCGTAATAAATCAACCAATTCTCGTTTTATCTTTCCTATTACAGGAAAGCCTATAAAAGATATGTATTAAATAGATATTTCATCAGTGTAAAATAATTAGTGCTTATGCTTATAAATTAACTAACATATTACCTTCATAAATGATGGAAGTATATAACTGAACTAGGCTTGCACCAGCTCGAATTTTTTCGTATGCATCTTTACCAGAAGATACACCTCCACAGCCAATAATTGGGATTTTCCCACCTGTTATCCTGCAACATTTTTTAATATAAAATATAAATACAAAATATATATTACATCATAAATCAACTGTTCGCCATAAAACAGTCATAAAGGTTCTTACTTATAAAAATGCCTTATAAGTTCAGTTGTGACATTTCCGAGAGGTTTGCCGCTCAAACCACCACTTTCTGTTTTATTATTACTAGTTAAGATTGGAGGCCTATCAATGGTCGTATTTGCAATTATAAGTCCATCTATACCATATTTTCTATCGAGTGATACCTAAAACGACAGACAAGAAATGAAAAGGAAGAAACAAATAATTTTCCCGTGTTTTTGAGCGCATAATGTTATACGTTATACGTTCCATTCGAATAAATGAATATTTGAATTAAAATATAATAAAATAGGAAATTAACGCACTCTTTTAGTTCAGGAAAATTTGAAACTGAGGACCTTTTAAACAAGAAAATTATACTTCAAAATTCTGCACAAATTTACTTGAAATATGAAGTTAAATTTTTTCAGGCAAATAAAATAATATCAAATTATCGAATGATATAATAAAACATGCTCGAGCGATATCATCCATTTCTAATGAAGATAGGTCAGGAGAAATTTTGAGCAGAACTTTTGGTTTTTTAGCACCGAAGCGATCAATGTATGATTTTATATGGGTCATAAGCTGCAATTCTTTTTTCATGAAAAAGGCAAATAAAATGAAATTTAAGGTAAAAATGGTAATTTTTCAAAATTATGCTGAGATAATGCCATTATTTAACCATTAACCATTATTCTGACTTTACCAAATTTAATAAAATAAATATACAGTTAAAAAAAATAAATTTGCAGAAAAATGAAAAGTGAAATATTCATTCAATTAGACATTCGCAATATCTATAAATAATATTATACATCTAAATAATAAAGTTTTATTCGAAAATTGTTCAGAATGCATCATACAGAAACTTTTATGATTGATATAAAAATTACTTACATTTTGCAACTCATTTTTATTTTGCAAAGATCGCAGTCCTGGAGTATTAGGCGAACTCACATTAATAACCAAATAATCACAGTGTAATCCAAAATAATTGACACCAATACTATAATCAACCCATGCTTTTTCTGTTTCCTATAAATCGACAATTAAAAAATTGGTCCTTTCAGCTAAAAAACATTCTTTGAATGATTTAAAAACCTTTCATCAAATTAGAACAAAGAGTTAAAGACATCTTGCCTTATTTTTTCCGATATTAACACCCAACGGTACTGCAGAATTATTCTCATCCTCGGAAGCTTTCTTCACTCTCGAAGAAACGATGCCAACGCCAGCATTATTGAATCCATATCTATTGATCAGAGCCTTAATACAAAAAAGGGCTAAAATGAGAATAAAGCAGGACAAAATAAAATAAAAAAGAAAATAATTATATAAAAAAATTGATAGCATAAGAACTGAAAATGTTTGGAACATCAATATAAAGATAATGATAAAAACTTTTTCAATAAGTAAAAAATTACACCATCTTCCACTAATCGAAAAATGCGTGGCTTTGGATTCCCTTCTTGAGGTAAAGGAGTAATCGTTCCTATTTCGATAAATCCAAATCCACTGTTGCGTAAACTATTGATTACTTCGCCATCTGAAGAAAATAAAAATGAAAAAAGACCACAAAAAGAAAAGCTGCAAAAAAAATTAGAAATTAATGCAAATGGTTATACTTTAATCCTTCAGTGAACTGAACGTTTTCAAACATAAAAGAAGTTGAAAAATGAAAAAAGTTCAGTTATTTACTATTCACAAAAAAGAACCTATCGTTTTATTAGATATCTATTATTAATATTATTAATAGATAAAATTGCATTTTCCTGAAAAACTGAAAAAATCATCCAAAAAATCTTTCCCTTTTATTAATTATACGTTATATTCGCAGTATAAGAATTTATTATAACAAAGAAACCTTTATCAAAACCAGCTGCAAGTCCAATTGGGTTTTTGAAATTTTTTCCAAATAAAGAACATTTAAGTTCATCATATTCGCGATAGTTATAACCAAATTTGGGTACAATACCATATTTGAACATTTTTAATGCGTAATAATGAGCCGTTTCGGGATCAACGAAACGATAGATTAAAGGCATAAACTGCAATTTTCTTCAATAAAATTTTTAATTTTATTGAGGAAAAATAAAATTTTAGTTATGATCTTTAAGAAAGCCTCAGGAAGAAGAAATATGAAAAAGTTCTGCAATTTCTGTTTAATTAAAAATTAAGCAAAAAGATAAAGTCAATCAGAATCATTCTATAAAAAGAAAAGGAAAAGAAAATCTTTTGTGAACGAAATATACTTGGTTTTTGAAAAAAGATTCATTTCCAATTAAAAACTCTGTAATACCATAAAAAGCAGTTCCACAAGAGCTCAAAATAATAGTTGATTTGAATATGTGCCTGAAAATGAGACGAGAATCAGTGGGTCCTTTCAAAAGTAAAATTTCCAACAAAAGCTATAAAAATATAGAAAATAATCTATACACATCATAATTATGAAAAAAACGTCAATATTAAAATATTAAAAGAAAAAAATAAATGGTCATTCGTAAAACAAACAAAAAGAAAACATATTTACCCAGGTGGTAGCTTCACATAGAATCTATTCATGATGATTCCAAAGTTTTATTCTTTATCTTTATCTCTGATACTTTAGCAATGAATCGTTCCAACTAAACGGTAGAAATAAAACAAGCAAATGAACCTTTCAAAAGAAATTGCAAAATTGAAAATTTAAAAGTGAAAATAAAACATTTTGAACTGAAAGTTTAAATTAATAAATTAAGATTAAAAATAATGAAAAAAAGCACCTCTTCAGCATTCAATTCAAAATGACTTGGAATAACAGATCCTTCGAAATATAAATTCAACTGAACTATAGGTTGCAGATCATTTAATGATGAGTTGCAGGAACTAACCAACTGAAAAAAAAAGACAAAAGATAGATCGAATTACGGATTTTTAAAAGGTTTTAAAGAGATATGACCAGATCTTGATGGAAATCCAGAAATTGCTAAATATTTAATTAATTTAATATAATTTAATTTAATAATTTAATAAATTTAATAAATTTTGCATCAACTTTAGTCAATAGCTCGCCACTAAATTAATATTTTTTTCTCCAAGAATTCGTTGGGAATACAATCATTTTCAACATCACTTATTATTTTTAAAGATAATTTTATATAAGCAATTTATTTCCGCAAAAAAATCGAGCTCATAACGCTTGAATCGATCGAAGTAATATAACACCTAATTAATCTAACTGCGTAATAAGCATCAAAAGTACTTTCAATCAATTCAATTAAGTTTTGATATTGTCTATATATCAATCAATCGTGATTAACTATGCCACTATGAAAATTGGCCCACTGTATATTTCTAAACAGAAGCATTTTCGACTCTGTTCAATAAAATTGTACAATTGTACAATTTAAAGGCCTAATTAAACTGATTAAGGCGAAACTGTATTGACAAAATATTGGAGCCAAATATTGGAGGAAAAAATCGAGACTCCAGAGGACCACGCCTCAAGTCCCATAGAACACTAGTTCTTAATGGGAACCATGGAATTATTTCTAAGGAGCCAAAGAAAAAAACTTGGAAAAATGAGAAATCACAGGAATTAAAGAAGGTGCTAAGTGATTTTTATAAGTAGAATATACTAAATTTTGAAGTAGGATATAAAAATCTGTCTATTTTAAATTATTTTTTTTTAAAAAATTAATTTAGTATAAAAAATTAATGTACCACGTAAAAAACTTAAATAAAGAATTCCATAATAGGAGGAAGAAGTTGAGCAAAAAGGGAATTTTTTAAAAGGGATAAGGAAAACGGGATAATAAGAAAAATCTTCGGTTGTATTTGATAAATTCAGGTTTCATTTTGAAATTTACAGAAGTCTGTGATTTTGCCATTTTTTGTTTTTTCTTCTTCTAACAGCTCTCACCATTAGGCTGGCTCCAACGGCTACAAAGGTATGACGCTTCCAAGCGGCGCGGTCTGATGCCATCGTCGACAGTAATGGAAGCCATTCCTTTTTCCATCGTCTAAGTCCATATTTTGCTGGTCCATATATACGTTCAAAATTTTATCTCACCCTATCAACCCAGGTCTTGATTGGCCCATCTCGCTTTTGACGCAAACCATCACACGGTTTAGCAAATAATGAAATATGTGTCGTTCAACTCATGTGGTGGACGACAGAGAATGTGCCCTAACAAGCGAAGGCGGCGCTCTTAGTTGCATTTCATCACAACTGTCAGGACTATGTAGGACAACTGTCATTTGTCAGGACAACTGTCATCTATATCAAGATCTGTGATATGATTCACAGGACTGATTTGGACACTCCTTGAATGCCGACAAGAGGTGTCTAGTCTATCGCATAGTTGAATATTTTGGGGGAAATGACGCAGCCTTGATGGACATCAGTTCTTATTTCGAAGGAGTCTGTCAGCTTCTCATATACACAGACCTGCGCCGACGTGTGCTCATAAAATGCCTTTATAAGTCTAATGATTTTCTCTGGAACATATTCACTGTCACGTTCCAACATCCTCCAAAGCGCCGCTCTATCAATTGAATCAAAGGCAGCCGCAAAGTCGATGAAACATGACAGTGGGTTGCAAATATTTGAAGCGATGTTCCAATACTCTTCTTAACGTGAATATCTGGTCGGCACAACCGCGCCCTGGTCTGAAACCAGCTTGATTAGGACGCATTCTGCTGTCCCATACTTCCATAAGTCTGTTGAGCAGTAGGGAAGCAAAATTTTTTGCTGAGACGTTTAGCAGGCTGATTCCTCGATATTTGTTGCAGTATCTCCTATCATCTTTCTTGAGAATTGGGAGCAGAATTGCTTTGCTCCAGTTATCTGGTAATATTTCTTTTTTCCATACTAGAGAATACATTTGTTGAATACATTTGTTGAAGGTGCGTTATGGAGTACGATGGACAATAGTACGATTTGAAAAACTCAGCCCGAAGACCATTTTCTCCTGGAGTCTTATTGGCCTTTAACTTATGGATAATGGAAATTATTTCTTCTTCTGTCGGGGACTCGCAGTTATAAGCATATGGTTCAACGAACGTATAAGGGTATAAGATGGCGCTTCATGCTTAAATTTGGCCTCAAAGAATTCTTTCCATCTTATGAGCCGATCCTAAATACTTTTGATCAATACGCCATTGTTGTCTCTTACCATTTCATGATCGTTCTCTGAGTCGTAGTTGCTTTATGAAGAAGGCAGAATAGTTCCCTATTGTCTAATCGAGCCGCCGCCTCCATTCTTAAGGCCATGTCACTCCAATAAAGATTTCTGTTCCGCCTTGCTGCTTTCGTTGTAAATCTTTGAAGTACCCGGTAATCAGGATCATCTGACATTCGTGCTTTGGCAGCTTTTTCAAACAAATGGACATTTGCTTCTGATACCCAACAAGCACATCTCCTACTAGTATGCCTAGCGTGGAAGTGGCTGACTTTCGGGGACATTCCTTTTTTTTGGACCAATATTCATTTGCAGTTCCAGAAAAATCATTGATATTTGTATCAATGAGATGCTTCAATAATTCGGTTTGAAATCCGCTCACTGTCCCCGAATTTTTAGTTTGAGATAGCTGAAGGATCTTGGGGGATGCTGTTTTCTGCGAGTTGTCAATTTTATGCGGATCTTGGAGCTCGAACCATAACATGGTCAGATCCATGAAAATTGCCTGTTTCAGCTCCGCGATAGGAATGACTATCTAGTAATGAAATCTTCCAATGGTGACTGTCTAAAATATAATCAATCTGATTGAAGTATTGGTTATCCGGGGAGTTACACGTGACTAGACGTTTTCTATTTATAAAAATTCAAGGAAGATTAAGACTAAAATTTAAAATTTTTAACCAAGTCTAAAAATCGAATTATAAAAAAAAATTAAGTCTTAAAAACGAATTATAAAATTAAATATAAATTAAATAATTAAAATGAATCAAATGATCAAATCGTAGAATAAATATTAAATAAAATTGGTTTATTAAACGAATAATATTAAAATATTTATGACAGTGAGATATTTTTAAATAATGTAACATTAAAATAATAAAATAAAGGCCAAAATTAAGTTTAAATTTCAAGGAAATTTAAATCATACTTGAAAAATTGAAAAACTGATTCAAAATGAATGAAATGAAATTTTTTCAAATAAACAAACTTGAGTTAAAGAAATTTAACTAAGTTGACAAAAACGTTAAACAAAAAAGAAATAAATGTAAAATATAACTTACTACAATATGAATTCTTGCAAATGAATTAATGAGGTTTTCTGTGATTGTCAATTATATGCGGATCTTGGCTCAAACCATAACATGGTTAGATCCATGAAGATTGCGTTTCAGTTCGCGATAGGAACGACTACCTAGTACGGAACTCTTCCAACGATGACTGACTAAAATATAATCAATCTGGTTGAAATGTTGGATGTCCGAGGAGTTCCATGTGACTAGATGTTTTCTATGATGCCAGAAGCAAGTATTAGTAACAAAAAGTTCATGCTCATAACGAAGAAGATCCCATTGGCACACCGCATTCCGATGCCATATTTGCCAATTGTTGAGCTCATCGCAGCTGCATTATGACCTACGCGAGCATTTCACTCTCCCCCGATTATGATCATGTCATGTTTCGGTAAAGATTTTTTTAGCAGTTGAAGTTCCGCATAGAGCTTATCTTTATCACGGTCATCTGCCGACATAGTTGGAGCATAGATATTGATGACCGAAATATTGCAGAAATTACCCTCAAAATGGGCATAGACTATACAATTGCTTACCGGTTTCCACTCAAAGCAGAATGAGCCTTATCAAATTTGACATTTCGTTCCGAGTTATTCGAAGCACCATAGTGATATAGCCAGTATTTCTGATCCGACCTTGATTAATAATTATTCGAAACCCGAAGTGAGGAAGACGGACTTCCGACAGGCAAGCGATATCCACAAGATATTTAGAAAGGGTGTGGACAGTGATTGCTTGACTTGCAACATCCATAAGTATCTGATATTCCACATTGATATGACTAATACCTCGCAGCGCGTGCAGATGGCTATTCCCCTTAATAGGTTTCGAGCAATTACCCAGGCTTGCGAGCACATTTTATTTACCAGCCTTGGGATCCTTGGGATCGCTTTAAGCCCGGATTGTATACTTATCACATGTACCACCGGGCTCGCATTATCACGCGGACGCCGCATCAAGTATATCTGACTCTTTCACCATAGAGTCACTTGGGGATAGAATTACAGGTGGGTTCCCAGCAGCCACTCGCTCAGCAAAAAAATTTTTTTAGAAATTTTTTCTTAATACCATTTTTTGCTACTTTATAATTTAGTTTTTCCAACTTTTTTTTTTAGCTATTTTAAATAAATATGCAATATAACAACTCATATCTTC